ATCTCTCTATCTCTCTCTCTCTCTCTATATATATATATAGAGAGAGAGAGAGAAAGAGAGAGAGAGAGAGAGATAGGAGTGAGAGAAATACATTCTGATATTTTCTTGAAGCCTTTCTCTATTATGTGAGATCTATTTACATATTTACCAGAAAAAGAGACATTAACACTGATAAGAAATTATCAGGAAAATGAAAAGGGATATCGCTTGAAAGTAGCCTCATCTGCCATCACATGAATAATATATTATTTCTCAAAACTTTTATCTACAAAACGCTACCACATAATGCAAGAAACTGAAGTATTCATTTTGGTCTCATAATTTGATTGTTGAAGATATTGTTATATTTATTTAAGTGATAAATATTCATTTTTTTTAATATAACTCCTATGTTTCTCTATTTTTTTTATAACTTCCTATGTTTTCTCTATATTCTCTTTTTTCTCCCAAATGATTTTCCTATATTATTCGAATATTTCTTTGAATTATTATCACAAATTCAGAGACGAAGTGTATTTTGTCATTCCATCTATTTTCAGATTAGGATCTGCGTCTTTATTTTATAACAATTGTAAAGTCAATATAAGAAATGAATATTTACTATTCAAAATGTTTCCCGCCTTTCGTTTCCATCTTTGCTAAAAAGGTTTACCTTCCTTTATTTGTCTGTTATTCAAGAATGAAGAATCTTCTTTATTCCATGTATGATTCTGTCTACTGTTTTCAAAATTATTAATTCAAATCGGCCGATATATTCTTCTAAATTTCTGAAATAAGGCTTACGAGTTCTGTTCGAAAAGTATCCGACTTGATTTTTCCCTGCATGAGTAAAAAACGTGTGAAAACGAAAATCCGAGAAGCGCGCACTAGACATTTGTACTCAAGGAAATGTCTCGTCCTATCAGCGCGGAAATGTCTCACGCATGAGCAGGAAGGGTTGAATTACCTTATATCCAAAGGTGTTCGAAAATGCAGCATTAGTTTTACCTGTGAAAAATAAAGTGGGGTATTTTTTGAACGCATCTCGTATATACCTCATTTCTGCTACCGAAAGTTTTGAGAGGATGTGCGAGCCACAGTTTCGGTTAGATATAAGATGGCGATAGCGTGAAACTAGAGTAGGTGTATGAAGTTTATTGCTTTTTGACTCGGTGAGTAACGTATTCGCTCTGTCTGGATAATTATTATTACATAGAAAACGTTGTCTTTTATTTTTAAGGTAGGCATTTACATTTGGTGAGTTTTTTTTTTCTTATCATTTTATGTTTCTTTTCTTGCATTTTGTTTTGGTGTTGCTGGCTTTGTTTTCATTTTGATTTTCTCTGGTCCCTTGGCAGGCTTTACGTTGGTTTTACCAATACTTTGGTCACACACACACACACACACACACACACAGAAAAAAAAAATATATATATATCATTATAGTAATTCATCGAGTCTAGTAGAATCCTCAACAGAATACAGAAAGTAGTGGACGGCCGTTTCGACCTATTTCGGGACTCATCAGCAGTGTGCATCCACTACAGAGATTCGAATCCGTACCGTTTCGATAAAAACCAGTCGTCATGCCAACAGTACCAACGGCCCTCAGTGAAGAGGAAGAAACTAAATTGACTCGATATAGCGCCCGCTAATCACAAATTTAGTAGTGATACTCATCCAAATATTCGTAACCCAACAGATTGTCCCCTAAGGGTCACGTCTTTCCTTTCCCCCCGAACTGTTCCATCGCAGAGCATTAGATGGATCAAGTAAGGAAATAAAAGTAATAAAATTCTGGAGAATTAGGTAAATCATATATAGTAATTTATCGAGCACAGAATTATCTTCAACAGCGTGCAGAAAGCACTGGACGGCCGTTCCGTCCTATCAGTAGCGCGTATCCACTACCGAGACTGTTTCGATACAACACAAGCGTCATACCAAGTGTACCAACTGGCCTCGGTGACGAAGATGAAACTGAATAGACTTAATATAGCGCCCCTACTCACAAATTATGTTGTGATACTCATCCACGTATTCATAACCCAACTGATTGTGCCCCAAGAGCCATGTCTTTTCTTTCCCCCGAACCGGTCGGTCGCAAAGTATTAGCTGGGTCTAGCAAGGATATGCAAGTAATAGAATTTTGAGAAATTAGAATAATCGATAAAAAATTCTATCACTCGGCTAACCTGATGAATATTTATGAGGGTACATAAATTTTAAAATTTTGAAAAACCAATGATATTTTTTCTTGTATATAAACACTTATTACAAAATAAAATCCTTTCGTTTTTCTTGGTAAAATCACTCCGAGGACGAAACACATTTGCCAAGATAAGGTTCCTTTTATCTTTATTCAAATATATAATACCTGTATATTTATATATATATATATATATATATATATATATATATATATATGTATGTGTGTGTGTGTGTGCCAGTGTAAAAAAATAAATATATAAAATTAATATATTCTTGATTAGTGTTGACTAATTTACGTGTGTGGATAACCCATATAACATTCGCTCTTGATATGCTACCAATGATATCGGGTTGACAGATAAATTCGCTCGTTTTTTTTTTTCAATTTGTTTCTATCCTATTTTTAATCACCAATTTAAACGAAGTAGTCTATAATTTAAAACGATAAACAAAATCCGCAGAGGAATAAAAGAGCTACAAAATACATACAGAATTATGGAAAAAAAAGCTGAGGGAGGAAATGGCTTGTAAATTTTAACCTATGAGATATATATGTCTGTATTTTATATTCTACATCGTGCACTATGTGTGTAATTACGTTGATGTCTTTGACAATTGAATTATTATAAATTGGTATATACGTTCCTTTATTGTCGCGTCTTTTTTAGTGGCGGCGTTATCGAGTACTTAAGTATACAGTATGATGGAAAGGTTATATTTCAACGAAGAAATTGAGATGATTGAAACAGAGTAGATGAAACTAATTTTGCAAGTGAATATATAAAATAAATGTTCTTTATCATATATATATATATATATATATATATATATATATATATATATATATATATATATATACCAGAAAGGGATGGTCTCCACCAGGTTAAAACACCCAAGTCTTGCCTCATGATGAGCACACCAAGAAACCATTCGCGTAGACACAGCCTGTGGCACAACCCCAACTGATAGAAGGGAATGGTTGACAGCTCAGCACATCGACTAAAAACGAAAGGTAAGAATGGATATATATATATATATATATATATATATATATATATATATATATATATATTAAATAAAATAAAGCCAAATAAATGTTCTTATAAAATCTGCATTTTGGAACATGGAGAGTTGGGAAATTTCCCAGCAGTCAGTTTTCTCGTTAAGACAAAAAGATTCTGTTTAGAAAAGAGACAAATTTCAATTTTCCTTAATCTGTTTCTTTTAGTTGGATAAATGACAAATTAGATGCCCTTAAACAGCTGTCTCTAATTGTCTCTTTCCTATCACAGTTTCCAAATGGAATAATGCTGAATGAAGAAAGCGGATATTTTAAATCGAATTTGGAAGCCATATTTTACGATAATAGAAAAACGGATTCCTACATTATACCATCCGAATATTTATCTGACAATGGCTGTTAAGAATTGTAGTGATTCACAATCCAAAATATTCGACATGGAACAGGCTGGATTTGAAGTTAACCTTCGTATAATCACTTAAGATTAAAAAATATTTTACTACTTACATAGATGTCTTTTGATAAACGGAACTAAAAATTTTATTTTCCGCTTATCAATACGGAGAAAAAGCTGCTAAAATCCCAAAATTATAGGCTTTTTATTCATATCTTGTGAGATATTTAAGTCGGGTTGGTTGCTTTACTTACGTGCCAAAAGTCTTGCAGATATAAGAATCCATCTACTCCCACGAGCTATGTATTAAACAGTACCACCTGTATCTGGAAAAATCGTTTTTATTCTAAAAATAAAGAAGTATATTCATTCGGAAGAAAAGAATTATTCTTAAAATCCGAAATAATTTTCGTTTTTAAATAACCCGCAAACGGTTGATAAACCGTAAAATCAAGTCACTCTGACAAGATGGGGGATATTATCGTTTATTTGTTTACTTTTTGTTTACAGGTAAACATTTTTTTATAGATATAGCCATATTAAACACGAATGAAAAATGTTTAGGCATAAACAAGATAAGTTCCCACGATTTTTTTTATAAATTATTTTAACCTCAATTTTAATTTTATTGAATAGAAATTATTTTCTCGAAGGATGATTATCCGATATTTTTTTATTGAGATAAATGACTCTACTTAACGCTTTAATGTAACTTTATTCTAATTTATTTACGCAGTAAGAAAATTATTGTAGCCAAATCTAAAACCCGTGCCTGTCGACATCACAATTTATCCACTAATGAAATTTTTACGTTGAGAAACATGATCCGTATTACTTTTACGTATGTATAGAATTAAGCATTTAGCATTCAAACGAAACTGCTGACATAGGCATTTTAGACTCCTGTATATGCATGTTTATCCAACAGAACATTCATTCTTGAAAACAACACAGCTCAGCTAATTTCCGGCCCCCGAGGAATTGTATTTCCTTCAATTAATAAACATGCTGAGATCTATAAAGTGGTAAGCATAAAACAGAAACGGCATGTTAACAACTAAGAATTGCTGACCGATCTCAAATGCTGAACATCTTAATATAGACCATTAAAAAAGAAAGGGCGAAATTAAGAAAAAAGTATTCGTTAAGAAGTTCAACAAAATGAATAGATATTCTGTCTTGTCAAATTACTGAAAAATAAAATCATTTTTTCATCATAAAATTGTGAGGGAAGAATGTATTGGTTTTATTATCTCGTAAATAAGATCAAGATATTCAATCGAGAAGTCAATTGAAAAAAGGTTTGCTCGTCAGAGAATCACTATCAGATTCATATAGGGTGTGGTTGCTCCTGCCACTGCTTCTGCTCGTAGGAGACTGATCCAAAACTAGTTCTTACGACATACTGCAGTTTAAGTAGCATTCGATGGGATAACTTAAATCAACTCCATTAAAGGAGAAAGAAAATGAAAAATGCTTCCTCAGATCAGAGATAAAGGTAGGCTGGAAAGATATAAAGAATGAAACAATGAAATAAGAGCCACACCAGATCACAGAAGAAAGAGTGAATTTAGATAAGAAAGAAAGAAAGAAAGAAAGAAAGAAAGAAAGAAAGAAAGAAAGAAAGAAAGAAAGGAAGAACTAAGACCAACACAAAATCAAGAAACATGAAGTGATTGTATATAACTAACTAATAAAGAAAGAAAAAAACAAACAAAGAAAGAATGTAATAAATATCTCAATAAGAAAGAAAAATAAATAAACAAACAAACAATGAAGGAAAGAAAAAACTAAGAGTAACACTAAATCATGAAAGAAGAAGTGAATGTAGATAACTCACTAAGAAATAAAGAAAGGAAAAAAGAATGGAGAAGAAAAGAAAGAAAGAAAGAAAGAAAGAAAGCGCTAAGGGCAACACAAAAATGGGGACTGTAGATAACTCAATAAGAAAGAAAGAAAGAAAGAAAGAAAGAAAGAAAGAAAGAAAAAAGAAAGAAAGAAAGAAAGAAAAAGAAAAACGGACTAAGAGCAACAGAAAATTAAGAAAGAAAGATTGAATTTAGATAACTCTCTAAGAACGGAAAAATCAAGAAAAATGACAAGAGAGAGAGAGAGAGAGAAAGAGAGAGAGAGGGAGAGAGAAATAATAGACAGAAACACAAAATTGCGAAAGAAAAATATAAATTTTATCACTCACTAAATAAAGAAAGAAACCGAAAGAAAGAATTAAGACTCAAACTTGTAGTGTCGTGATGTCTTTTACGTCGTCTGATTTATCTGTGAGTACAATAAAATCTCACGACAAATCAATACCGAGAGAACAAATAATCTTATGATTGTCTATCGTGTGAAGTCATCATCCTTTTCCTCCTTATAGCCATTTTCGTTTACTACTATTCGTTCAATATGACGCCTATGTGCCACTCAAGGTAGAGGGTGTACTGAATACTGCGTAGGGAAGGAAAAACTGTCCTGTATACTAAAACATATATAGAACAGATAAAAACTGATTCTCGACCTTAAGAGGTTAATATTGTATCGATCCGGGAAGCATCCACTTGTGAGTCCGTCTCATATTACAACAGTTCGGGAGAAAAAGTTGTCTGAGTGGAACTTACTCCTTGCCAATGAAAGATGAACGGAACGGGGAGAAGTCGGCTCAATGTCATGGCGAGTTCAGGCTGTAAATATCAAATTAGATGTAGATTTTGTTTATTTTCATCGAAGGCGCATTTTACTGTTTAAACTGTAGTTTATTTCTCTTCACTTCTAAAATATTCGTTTGTCTAATTTACTTCCATTTTGGCAGGTTTTCGATTATTTTTGTTATTTCCTTTTTCCCAATGAAGCACTTCTCTCGACTACGATTGCTATGAATAGGGTCCATTGTTTTCAACTGCATTCCAAAAGTTGCGCACCACACTATGCATCAGTGCACCTGCAGGCTTGAGCTTCTAATTCCATAACTTTTAAAATTACACATCGTCATGTTTCAATTAATGACATGGATTCAATGGGCGCTACAGACGAATGTTTCAAGTGAAGTCTGACTACCAAACCCATCAAGATCAGCAGAGATTAATGACATTGTGGAGGCTCAATTAAGCTTTATCTTCCTAAAAACCAATATTGTTTATGTGTATGTATTTCGTTATCTACACAATGAAAACGAAAGGTAATATTAAATATTTGACATTACTTTTAAAGAATCTTTAAAAAGGGAACACTGAATTTATGACTTGTTGCTTTGTTTTTATTCGACTAGCTTGTGATTTACCAATAGCAGGATAAAAACCTAGTAAGATTCTGATAATATTTACTCATTGTAAATCCACACAAGTAATGGGATGTGGTTTATATTAGATAACTTGCGTAAAAAGCAACCAATAGTTTTACTAAAACGTGCCAAACACCATAACAATTATACCTGTCTATCTACCTTTTAAGAAAACGTTATATTATTTTACAGGAGCATCAAAACTATCAGCACCTGCACACGTATTTGTTTAACCGTTCTACCTGACGATTTTGCTATTTTCAGTTCTGAATCTATAGCCATAGACTTAGTTTTAGACCTCATAACAGACAATGAACCAAACAGCTACATAGTTTTCTCAGATTTATTATCTATATCGCTTAGGAGGAGTAATAGATAGCGGCTTGGATTGAGGAATCGGAGGGCCGAGTTCGAATTCCAGTCGAATCCATTACATTCACTTACGTGCTAATGCCATTGGGAAAGGTGTGAATCCTTTTCTTCTCCCTCTAGCTATGAGGAAATAGCAGGACAGACTGGGTTCTATAACCTTGGATGGCAACTGGTCTAGGAGAAGGACAATTGGGTTCTATAAACCTGCAGCCGCCATGGATGGGTTTATCAACTGGTCGTCTCTCGAGACGACGGATACCGACGACGACGACGACGACGAATTCACTTAGAAATGTTAAACTTTAAACCCTGCAAGAAAAGGCAATTGTCTACCCCGAGACACAAGCAGAAATAGAAACATGGCAGCAAAGGAATCGATTAAAAAGGAATATTTTCAAATGTCTAAATATTTCAAAATATGTATAAACTCATACAGTCTAAACAAGTAGCAAGATTTATGGAAATACCGCCAAAACATGAAACATTACAAAACTAAACAAACTTACAAGAATGGCATCATGATGTCAGACTTTCCCAGAAAACATAAGTCGTCTTATCAAGAATCACACAAGGAAATACATATATCACTCACTCATTTCTCTTAAAAATTAACAATTCCCAGGATACACAACATTTCAAGAAGCATAGAGTGTAAAACATACTCTAATCAACTCAACGGGACTGATGTCTTTGTCATACTTTTAAAAATGTTTCGGCCGTTGTACACTCCGGCATTCTTCATTTTTATTTCGCACAGTGGGGTAGATTGTTCTAGTTCCACGTGACTTGTTTAATGGATATCACTTATCAGTTATCTCCTGTTAATTTCCCTCTGAAAGTTCAACACTGCCTCAACCGGGTATTAAAATCCCACGCTTTGGGACCCGTCACTGATCTAACTAACGTATTTCTCCACTGTGCTATGTGTCCTGGAGGGCGAAACGTTGTAATAAATATGACGACAAAGATGAGGACAATAATCCCAAAAATGTTAGTAGTGGGCATAATACATCATCTCAGAAATACAGACAGATACCGAAAGGCCAAAACGTTGTAAAAATTATGACGAAATAGATGAGGACAATAGTCCGAATAATGTAAATAATGTACATAATACCTCATCTCAGAAATATAGATAGATACCGAAAGGCCGAAAGACAGTAATAAATATGGCGACAAAGATGACGACAATACTCCCAATAATGAAAATAATGTACGTAATTGTGTGACGTCGTCCCCCGGTCGCAGCGCCAACTGTGACGTTCTATCCTGATCTACCACGGCGCCAGTTGTGACGTGGCCGTTCCAGGGTCGTCCCTAAACAGCACCAATTGTGACGTCTTCGCCGCGGCGCCAGCTGTTCGCTCCTCGCTGCTCCGTCATGGTGTCGCTGCTCCAAACGTGACGTTCGCCTGTCGCGTCAGTCGTGTTGTCTCGTACTGTGACGACCAACTGGCTTGGTATCGGTCGCGGCACCCAAATGTGACGTTTTAACCTTTTGGTGATTCGGGTGGGAATCTGGTTAGATTTGATACCAGCTTCGCCGTTCCCAACTCGCTTCCAACGCCTGGTTACCAAGGTAACTGCACTGATCTCCAGTCTGCCTACCCACCTTGTGAATTGATCTTAGACAGACGAGATCAAACAGGGGTTGGGGCCGTAATGCAAATTGAGTTCAACTGCGGTGATAACACACAAATATGCATAAAAGAAAATAAAATGAAAACTCAAAAAGTTCAAAGTATCAAAGAAAAAGGTAACAAACTTTTATGTCTAGTTGTTCGATACATAGGACTGCATCTATCTCCCGACCCGTTCTGTGGATTGTGACACGTCGCTTTCGCTAGGCAAGTTTTAACGCTTCAAGTTGTCTGCTCTCTAAGAAATTTGTGTTTCGGTGTGTCTTTGGACGAAAGTCGAAAAACTTATTTCTGTGGTCTGGTTCTAAGTCGCTCTTCAAAATAATTGTTCTTGGTTGAAGAGGAGTCCAAAATTTTGCGTGAATCTTAGTCAACTATCTTGAGGCGGCTTCAACTCTGGAAACTCATCTCAGTCGTCAGGGCTCGAACAGTCATCTGCCCGCCAGGGTCCGAACGAACTGGGCACTCATCTCTGCCGTCAGGGCGCGAACTAACTACTGGACACTCATCTCAGCCGTCCGGGCTCGAACTGTCTTCTGCCCGCCAGGGTCCGAACGAACTGATTTCTGCCTGTCGGGGCCTCGTTTTTATTGACGCCGTCAAAAACCGGGTTGGGTCTGTTGGCGTCGCGCAGTTCCTCGATAATTTTAAATACATATCCACCTCTTTTATTTCTGGTTAGGGATTTTCCTCTTTTCCATTTTTGGTAACTTTTTCTCACTCCCACTTTCTCCCCATGCTTCTGAGGGGGCGTGAACTGCCCTCCCCACTTTTTCGTAGCGGCTTCTCATACTTATACTCTGGTTGGGGGCGTCGACAGTCTTCTTCGTGCGTCACGTGACCACTCTCGGCCAATGAGGTCTTGGTCGGGTATCTTTCCTCCTCCTTCGTGCGTCATGTGATCACCATTTGGCCAATGACGTCTTAGTCGGGCGTGAACAACCCGCGGCTTTGTTTTGAAAAAGAAATACCTTGTTTAACTAAAAAAATTAATGATCTCTCCTCTTTCTCTTTTTCTTTCTTTCAAATCGCCGTTATCATGAACAGATACTGAAAGGCCGAAACTTTGTAATAAATATGACGACAAATATGAGGACAATAGTACGAATAATGTTAATAGTGTACTTAATACCTCATGTCAGAAATATACGAGAGATACCGAAGTGCCGAAACATTGTAATAAATATGGCGACAAAGATCAAGACAACAGTCCGAATAATGTAAATAGTGTACATAATGCCTGGTCTCAGAAATATAGACAGACAATGAAAGGCCGAAACTTTGTAATAAATATGACGACATAGATGAGAACAATAGTCCGAATAATATAAATAATGTCCATACTAACTTATCTCAGAATTATAGACAGATAACGAAAGGCCGAAACGTTTTAATAAATATGGCGACAAATCTGAGTACACTAGTCTGAATAATGTAAATAGTGTACATGATACATCATCGCAGAAATGTAGACAGATAATGAAAGGCCGAAACTCTGTAATAAATATGGCGACAAATATGAGGACCTTAGTCCGAATAATGTAAATAGTGTACATAATACCTCATCTCAGAAATATTGACAGAACATCAACGATCTAATGACATAGCTAGTGCAGAAGACGATTTCTTAAATGATTAAGGTCGAGACTATGCTAGTCTAATTGAAATTGGGATTGGTCTATACCATAAATTAGAATACTAAATAACTCCGTATTAGACGCATAACTGGAATTTGATTGAACCAAATCCCAAAGACCTATATTTAAAATATATGTTAAGCATTAAATGACTGACCGAGCTTATTATAAAACAAGATAATGAAAAACAATATATTAGAGATTAGTGAATAGACAGTCTTCTGAATACTCCAGCACCCTCCTCAGTATTCTTATTGTTTCCATAT